CATATTATCAATTTAATTGTAAAAGCTGGATTAGAACATATAAGTTCTCATTTAGATAAAATTAGACAAACAATAAATTTTATTGATGTGTCACAGCAAGAAAACAAGCATTTAACAGTTTGTATGCAGAGTATGACTTACAAGAGAAATCATTTGTCACTGACATAACACATAGATGGAACTTTATATATCTTATGTTACATTCGTGTAAAAATTACGATAAAGTGATTTCATTATATTATAATGACAGGTATACATACGGACCCGAACATAATTTAGAAGATTGGAAATGGTCTCTTGTATTTCACGTGAAAAATTTTAAAATCTTTTTTCGATACTACAAAGGAATATAGCGGAGTTTATTACCCTACATAGTCACTTGTTTTACAACATTTTTTTTACATTTCACAAACATTTCATAAATACAGGAATTTGCTATTTTTCGGACTTAGTTTGCTCTATGGAGTTAAAATTTCGTAAATATTGGGAAGAATTGCCCTCTTTATTTATTTTAGCTTCAGTAATAGATCATCGACTTAATTTGAATGGCACAATAGCCACTGTAAAAAGGATTTCAAATTTCATGAATGTTGAATTATCACATGTGAATATAGAATCTACGTTATCTGAAATATATAATTATTACGCTGATAAAGAAGGCTAGTGTAGTTTTACTTCCCAAAGTTCTTCTTCAAGAAATATTTCAACAAATTCAGATAATTTATAGAATTTTTTGGAAAGTAATACAACTGTTCCCTCGTTTAGTTTTAGTTCATCGATATCTAGAGCGATAAATATTAGTGGTACAAATTTTGAAATTCTCTCCGAGTTAGCTAGGTATATGTGCGTGGACGTTCGCAGTGTGTTACCTAAAAAAGAATTATAGGAATTTAGTCTTCTAAATTGGTGGAGTTGTAATCAAAGACAGTATCCAATTGTATCAAAAATTGCATGTGATCTACTAACACCTCCGGTGTCTACAGTAGCATCGGAGGCTGCATTCAGTTTAGATAGTCGAATTTTATCAAACGTACGTTCAAGACTAAAAGAAGATATATTAGAGATTTTAATATGCTTGAAGGATTGGGAATATGCAAAATTACGTGTTCAAGAACATATTGACAGTATACTGATCGAAGCGTTGCAGCAGATCCAAACATAAAATGTTGTAAGTTTTTAAAATAATTTATTTCAAAACAATATGTAATTTTTAAATTTATTTGTTTCAAGAAAAATTGTACACGAAATATTTTATTAGTGTACAATTTTAACTCCATCTACGTCATGTAACCGGTCCCAAACCTAGAAAAAGGAGGAGGGTTGTAAGTTATAATTTTTATTTTATTTATAATGTAATTTTATAAGTTGTAATTTTTATTTGATTTGTAACTCGAATAAATTACGTAATTTTTAAATTTTTTAAAGAAAATGTTAGATTCGTATAAACCAAAAAAAAAAAAAAAAAAAAGACTCTAGCCGGGCGGCTTGGCTCGACAAGGCATGAGCCTAAAGCTCGACTCGGCTTGACTCGTTGACATCCCTAACTACTAGGTTTTTGGGATATATATATATATATATATAATCGACAACATTTAGTTTGCTTGTGGACTTTATTATTGGTTTTTAAGTGGCTTCTGTCTTATGTTTATATTATAGATATCAAATTTGGTTTTGTTGATTCAACGTGTTTGATATAGTTGTTTTATTTTCTAATGATAATATTGTGTGAATCGAGGGAGTTCAATTGTGACTTTTTGTTTTTATATGATAGGTATGGTATTAAACTGAGCACTGCAATTCTTGTAGAGGAAAAACACGTGCCTATGCAAATGATTTCTTGATAGTTTGCAGTTATGGAAACTTTATTTACTAAGATCAACCACCGTTGTGCTGCAATACTTTCGTCATTGTTTGTGTTTATTTACTTGATAATACTTGTGAATTTTCTTATGCAGAAAGTCTTGAAATTTGTCCATCTGAATTGTAAAACTAGAAAATATTGGTAGAGTATTTTGTGATTAATTCAAGATTTGTCTGGAGAATATCTTGAATATGTTTGATTCATGCAAGTGGCCAAAAACCTGAATTTCTTGGAAAGACTGCCTTGTTTAGCTAGACATAGGCAATCAAGAAATTCTATGTATGGTGAGTTTTGCACAGTTCATATCTAGAATAGGCTTCTGGTCAAGCCTGAATTTCTTGGAAAACAAGTGAATACATATCTAACGATTTGAAAATACATATGTTGCAATGAGATGCCGATGCCATCAAGGAGTGCTAACATATGAAAGTGTTGAATCGACGCTATTTTACCAAACCATTACCAGAACTATCAAACATTGATCTTAAACTGCAAAGTTAATCTGCTTAACCTGCATGGCCGGGCATAATTTCAAGACTAAGCAATTCAACGATATTAAGCACTTTCTTCCTTGTGTACACGATTCAGGAATAACATAGATAATAATGTATTGGAGAAACCACAATCACTCAACTTTGTTAAAAACATAAGCATTAAACAACAGAGATATCAAAGAAAGTTCCTGTATTATTAAAACTAAGAACACGCACATAACTCAACATTAAACTAAAAAGCATAAGAAATTCCAAATTTAATTGATGAAGAAAAAGTTAACATCCTCGAAAAACCCCAAAATCACCTCTATTTTATTGAAGAAATAAAGAGAGTGCATTTACTTGAGACCTTTGAGGATTTATAAAGATTAAATATAGTCAATTGAAACTTTTAAAATTTAAGTGTATTCAATTGGAACTTTACTTTTAATAAGTTTCTAAAATCACGTGGTATTCAATTGAAATCTTTTAAAATAGGTATTCAAATTGATGGTGACTTTTGGAGAATTCTCAACTTACTAAACTTCTGGAAATTTTTTAATAAAAAATATAAATAGGAAATCTCAAAGAAAATATCTCATATGCTCTGAGATTTGTGAAGATTTCAAAACTCAAAAAAATAAATAAATAAAAGAACATCTTTTTCCTTTCAACTTGGATTTTCTCATCTCTTTAATTTATTTGTAGTAATCAATTTATAACTATTCTATATGTACATAATTATTATTGAATAAAAATTATATGTAATTGTTTCAAAACGTAGTATTCCATGTAATCGATTAATTTATTATTTTTATAGTAAAGAACAATACGTGTTTTTAGAAATTATGTTAATTGCATGGAAAAATTTTCGTTATGTTTTCTTCAAAATTAATGTAAAAAAATTATTATTTTACTTGCGTCAAAATTAAATGACGAGGCCGTAACTAGTGACTTTACCCTAGAAAATTTTGTGGGCATCATGATTCTTGAAAATGTCAATTAGATGGTACGAAAAATTGTAATTTTCAGGTACATAATGAATTAACAAGATGAAAAGTATCTAAAAGTTTATAAAAATTTTCAATCAAAATCTACAGAAGTTAAGACTTATATTATTTCTTAACAAATATGTAGAAATACTTAAAAGTCCATAAAATCTATAAAAGTCATCCATTTAAAAAAGTGTATAAAAATCTGAATTGAATACAACCCCAAAAATTACTCCAATTACCCCCTCTTTGTCGATTCTCTTCAATAAACCCTCACCTGCATCGTTGGCTTTTGTAGAAATTCTTTATCCCAAATTCAGCAGAAAAAATTCCCACGGAGAACTTAAGTTTATCCCCATTTCTTGTGACCTCATCGATGTTGGCCCAAAGATAAGGAACTTTGACACCAATCCCAGAAAGGCTGGTAATCTTGTCTTTAGAGATGTATCCACTGATTTTCGACATGTAATTCAATTGATACGAACCTTCAGTGGATAAACGGCACGAACCATTGAAATACACAATGAATTTGCCGGTGGCTCTATTTATTTCATAGTGGGTCACGCCCAATGGAAGGACACCCACGGGGAAGTCGTAAGCCTGAAGAACATCGTAGGCTGTCAGAGGGGTAGTTCTGCCACCATCTGCAGTTGCAATTAGTGGTGATGCAGTAGCGAGAAACAGGGAGATAAAAATGCCGATTTGCTGTGTCGTTGACATATTGTTGTTTGGACACCGAATTTTTGTGAGTAATTTCTTGGATTTAAGAAAGGGATTGGGAAACAGTGATTTTGTAAACATATTTCATTCCACCTATCATTTTTGCCAAAATGAATAATGCTATATAGCCCCCAATGGGGTTATAACCCTCGTCTATGTCGTTTTAATGTGACATTAAATAATAGGTAATTTCACCTTTCATACAACATATCATTTAGCATCACCTATATTAGAATTGTAACACAATCTAGGTGGCTTTAATGTGACATTAAATTATAGATGAAATTAAATGACTACCTATATTAGAATTGTAACACAATCTAGGTGGCTTTAATGTGGCATTAATTATAAATAAAATTAAATAAGTCATTTAATTTCATTTTTTATTCAACTTATCATTTAGCGCCACCTAAATTGTGGGAATACATAGTATTACTCTAAATGAATAATGCCACGTAGACTATCATTTCTATCATTTAGTGTCACATACACTAGGATTGTAACATAGAATTACTCTACATAAAACAGTGCTAGAGCACCAACCATTAGATAGCATTATTCAATTCTCTTCATTTTTTATTTTATTATTATTATTATTTTTTTTTTTTTGATAGATTGACGAGGCATACAAAAAAAAAGTGGGAATTTTTTTTATTTGTTTAATGATATTTTGGCTCAATCAAATATCGTCACATCATTTGTTGACAGAGATGACCCTAGACCAAAGTCATTGAGGCTAGGGCCTCCAATTGAGCCTAAAAAAATCCCGTGAAAATTACACCCAACCAGATTTTTTAACTTTAAACTTCAAAAATCAAATTTGAAAGTTTTTAACACAAAATTCAGATTATAATATAATTTTTAAATATTAACAATAATATTATAAAATTAAATAAAAGTACAAACCCACAACCCACCAAAACATTCATCCCCACCCCAATTTCAAACCCTTAAATATTCTCTCACACAAACAAAAGTCCCCACTAGTCGTCTGTCAATTGTCATTCATTTCGCTGGCGAAGCAGCAACACTGCGCAATTGCTTCATCACCGCACGCAGCGCTGTTCATAGCCGTTTATGCAACAGCGAGGGTGATCGTGCTACACGCGGTGCGATTCCTAGCCCTGCCTATATACCTTCATCCATTCTGCCGGCAAAGTCACGCCATCGCTGTGCGTAGCATCAATAATCGTCCTTGTGCAGTGGCAATGATGATGGCGTGCGAACAACATCGTTGCTTATTTCTATGTGAATCGATGATGCCATATCGATGCTAGCATAAGGTATTAGGATTTGACCTCAATATTGATTGTGACTTGTTGTAACTTAGTCACATACCATCACAGTTAAGATTGATTTTGTTACAAATAATCACATATAACACATGTATAGTCACAAATAAATTTTTGGAGATTTTTCTACAGTTGAGCATAGAGAGAGAGAGAGAGAGGATTTGTTTTCAATTTTTGAAGATTTTTTCATCACCAAAGTCAGAGTAGTCGTCAGAGCGGTAGTCGGAGCGATCACCAAAGAGGTTGTCGGAGTAGTCACTGAAACCGATGGCCGCCTCTGAAGGACAAAAGGGGTAGGGAGAGGATAGAGAGAGAAAGAGAAGGGGTTGGATTTGAAAGTTGATGTGATTAATTAAATTATATTATAATTTAAAATTTAATAAATTGATTTATCACCTGATTTTTGAAAAGTTTTTACGGAGTTTTTAGGTTTTATATATTGTTCCCTAAATTTTGAAAAAAGTCCAATAATAAAGAATAATATTGTATATTTAGTCGTCTAAAAAGCAAAATAATTTTCTTAGGATTATAATGGTAGTAGGCCCTCCATGGTAGTAGAGGGCCCATGCGGCCATAGCATGATTCTTCTTAACTTTAACTCCTTTTGAAATTCACATAACAAGTGTCGATATTCTTAAACTTATTATTTAAACAAATTTATCTTTGAATTTTGGAAATCTAACATTTGGAATTTGGAATGTTAGCTTGTAAAAGTTATGAAATCATATTAAAATTCGAAGTTCCATCTTAAAATATCATTATTGTTCAAATGAGTAGCCCAAATTCTTAAATATTGATTTATATTTTCACATTCATTCGATAAGGAAATTAGACCCTTTAATTTATTATTTATATTAAATAAACTCATTCTACCGAACTCTTTGTAACCACGAAAAGCTTCGGTTTATGGGGAAACGGGTACAACTCCATGTTCGGGAAAAAAAATCTCAATTGTTATTGTACTTTCAAATTCAATTTGTAACTAGACACTAAAATTTAATTTTTATTTTTTTTTATTTTTTTTTGGGAATAATCACAATACATTCTTATTTCTTAGCGGTTACAGACTGAGTCGACTGAAAAATTAACGATTTTATTTTTTCATGTAATCGAAGTCAACATTCTCTATCGTTCTTCACTTTTCACATAATCAAAATCGTTATTTTGCGAATTAAAAATTGAAAACTCGAATGTATTTTATAATTGTAAACAATTGGAAAAGGAAAAACATGAGGCGGCGCAGCTGTTTATAAAGTGGTGGATTCATATTTGTTTTGCAGGTAAAGGAAGGACGATCGTGACTAGTGTTTCATATGCCATATCTGCACACAACTTATTTCTATGAAACTTTTCCTTGTTAATAATACTAAAATTTATTATACCATTACTAATTTGTAATATTTATGAATTTTGATAAAAAAAAATTTAGGAAAAATCTAATAAACAAATATGAGTCCTTGTCGTGCAAGAAAATTCCATGCACTCATCATCAAATGTTGATAATAAGGTATAAATTCATTCCGGATGTTTATAAGTGCAATCATTGGCAAATTTTTAAATCTAGGATAATGTTGGGTGTACTGGAATGGTACCCTTACCAATACTCACAACATGTGGAACCCACTTGTATAAAAAAATTACAAAACCCCCACCCACTCACTCTGGTGTTGTGAGTGTTCGGTCTGTACATGAAGCATAGCCCTTAAATTTAATATATGGTTTTATAAAATATTAATGTTGTCGGTTGTTTGTGTGGCACGGCAAAGATTATTTAATAGGAGTGTTCTCAACTAAGATTTTAATGAATTTTGAAGGATTATAAATTTTAATGAATTTTGTCGATTTGAATAGATTCTTACAAATTTCATAAGAATATCATCAAATATGTTGAAATTTCAAAAGATTTGTACTTTTAAATTTGAAATCCATCTAAATCTTTTAAAAAAATTCTATTAATGAAATCTTTATAAATTTACTAATTATTGAGAATACCTAAATTTTAAAAGATTTTATTAAAATCCCAAATAGGGACACCTAAATTTTAATGGATTTTATTAAAATTCAATTAAATCTCAATTGAAGACACATAAATTTAGAAAGACTTTTAAAATTTATCACAATCTAAATTGAGGACACTCCCCTAAAACTCCTTCCTTGAAGATAAAAGTTGTAATTTTAATGAAGTGTTGAAATTGTAGCTTTGCAAACTTGATTGATTTTAGGTTTAAGAAAATAAGGGCATCATTCAATTATCAGCCGAACTAAGAAGAATGCCGCCATTTGAGTGCTATTTTTCGGAAGAATATGTTTTGAAATAGCAATTTTTATTTTTTAAAATGAGTAATTAAAAAAGAAAAAAAATTATTTACTAGTAAAATTATTTTATAAAAAATTGTATAATTTAAATTGAGTTTCGAAAAAATGAACTTCTAGAAAATAGGGCTCTAACTAGTGATTGTGGATAATCAATATCATTGATTCACTATATAAAATTGTTTAAATTATATGAATGGTTTGAAATTGTACAAAGATAGTCATTCACGTACTATTCGTTTGATACAAATTCAAAACGATATGCAAATTAAGTAAAAAATCAAACATTAAATTTAACGAAATATTCATAATCCATGAGACTCATTACTTTTTTATAATTTTTTGAAAGAGTTTTGCTGATTTGACAAAAAATTTTAACAAATGCTTTGATATAATTTGGGGTGGCAAAAAATGATTTTATAGAAAATTAATTGTATTTAAAATAATCCAACGATATAATGTTATAAGGCATTATATCAAACTTTACGTTAAAGAATCAGGGGCTATAGAATGATTTTTTGTGAAATCGTGAAGTCTTTAATTTGAGTCCAGATTTTGTGTCAATGCCATCTGGACAATTAACCATAAAAATAAAATAAGAAACTACAAGCCCTCACGAGCATGAAGTAGTGATAAAGGAGAATGATTCTATACGGAGTATCAGAGGTTCAAATCCTCACAACAGCTGGAAGGTAACATTTATGTTGGAAAGCAGTTGTCCTGTGGAGACAAAGTTATGGTACGCTTTGTCGCTCCTCCAGAGGTCCTGTCGGTACGTCGTAAAGGAAAATCTACAGGGAAGAGAACCGCATCCCAAATGTCCGGCTCAAGTACGTATAAGCTGTGACCGCATCCGAATTTACCTTAGTGGTGAATCAGATGGGAAAGCCGCCACTCCTCAAAATTAGTTAGACGAAGTTTAGACACTTGAGTTATAAAAAAAAAATAATAATAAGAATAGACAAAAAGAAAAGTCTAGAGCTAGTAAAAGCAAGGCAAGTCACGAGAAATAGGTTGTACTGACCGTTTACTTAGAATTAATGGATGTACTAACGCACTAGGATCACGAATCCCAAAACAATACCCGTTCAATTGTCAATTATGCAAATTTGACACACAATTCCACAAAAAATGAATCGATATTCATATTTTAAGATAGCAATCTCTCTCGAGAAATGTCAAACATATCCCAATATATGATTCGACTATATTTCTGTGACGAATACTAATATATCAACATGCATTATAAATTCACGAATATCCAATGATTCACACAAGGCATAAAGGTATATTTCTATGCCCTATCGGACCCTATGATGATTTATACTATGTCGAACCTATTTTCCTTCTTTCGAATGCATAAAACAGGCCACCACAATCATATAATTACGTGCACAATAATCATATAAAAATAAAAACGAAATAAATCAATCAAATCCGGAACTAGTGTTCAAATACGTCAAAAATC